GTAGCTGGGCATACATTATTAAAAATCTTATCTACATTCTTATTCAAAATGTTCTCAGGTGGATTAATAATATTTGTATTAACTTTATTACCATTTGCTTTATTCTTAGCTATTACAGGATTAGAATTAGCTGTTTCATTTATCCAAGCTTATGTATTTGTTCTGTTAGTATGTTCTTATATTAAAGATGCAATAGAATTACATTAATCTTAAATTTTTTTATTTCACCTCCCCTCCGAATATTCTTTATTTTAATTTATTAAGTAAAATATATAATATTTAAAAGAGAGTTTAGAAGTCTAAAACTGGGATTTAAACTTAATTGTGTTTTATTGAAAATGTAAAGTAATTAATAAAACACATGATAAATTTAGGAAGGTTCAAGGTATAAATTAATAATTTTAAATGATTATTAATTTTAATATAAATAAAGTTTTAGTGTAAAATACAAAGTAATTTGATGGGATTCTCAGAGAAAATATTAAATTAGGTTAATAATAAAAAATCTAACACTAAAGTTTGTTTTTTTTTTTTAATATATATATAAAAAATAATCTAATTTTGAAAAATAGAAAACCCTTTATTTAACCTGATATAAGTATTAATATTCTAAATATTTATTAATGTCTTATATATCAGATCAATCAGAAAAATTCATATTAACAAAAACTGTCTTATAGATATTTATTCTAACTCATTATTATTAATTTAGTAATAATTATATTTATTTATGCTTCACTTTTTAACTGAAATAGTTTAACGGTAGAACATACCCTTCATGATGGTAAAACAAAGGTTCAATTCCTTTTTTCAGTATACAATAAAATAGTAGTAGTATAGAACAATATAAAACCATTAGTACTACTACTACTCCCGTTATTTAGGTTCAAAAAAGAGATCTAAATATTTTATAAAATTTTTTAGGGTGTTCTTTACAAAAATCTAGTGTATAAATACTTGTGTATGTATTATTTTAATCATTAGGGTTAATTTACTACTTTACCCTATTTTTAGATATCTTTTAAAAGAGAACATAGAAAATGTTTAAGTGGTAAATTCCATGCGTTTAGTGGTGAAATTCCATGCGTTTATAAAATAATCTAACAATGAACTTACAATTTAAAAAAGTATATTTATATCAATATAAATTAGATAATGGTATATTAGATTTTAATATAATCTCTAATTCAATTGATTCATTCTTTACTGATATTATGTTACCACTTCCTAAAAATCAATATGTAACCTTTCAATTTGTATATAAATTATCTGATAATACCTTTAGAACTTTAGGGTATTTAAATAAAATTAATAAAAATGAATTAGAAACTTTAAAAAGTAATTTATTATTTATACATCAAAATCAAATTGATAATTATAATGAAGAATTTAAAGAAACTATAGCAATTTTCATTAAATATAGATATTTAGATATGTCTAAAACTGAAAATAAATCTTTAATACAGGATATTAGAGATAAAAATAAAGTAATACAAGCTCATTTAGTTAATAATAAATCTATTCCTTCTATGTATGACACAGAATTATGGGGAATAATTAAATATAAAAAAGTTAAAGATAATTTAACATTATATTCAATTGTAAGAGGTAATTATAGATACGATATTACTCAAGATCAATTAAGTAGAGATATTGCTATTTTTGATAATAATAATAATTTAATATTAGAATTTATAGATAAATTTAAATCTGATAATTATTTTATTAGGACAATTAAAGATACACATTTCCATTTTATTAATGATAAACTTATAGTTAATATCAAAGATAAAAAAGATATTAATAAAATTAACTTAGATAATACATTAAATAATGATATAATTACCTTGGATTTAGAAACATATTCTACTATTATTAACAATGAAGAAATTATGAAAGTAATTTCATGTTGTATTTATGATGGAGATAATAAATTATCCTTTTATTTATAAGATTATAAATCTAGTGATGATTTATTAAGAAATGCTATTAAATCATTAACGATCGAAAAATATAACAATTATAAAGTTTATATTCATAATTTATCTAGTTTTGATGGTATATTCTTATTAAGAATACTAGCTACAATG